ACCGCACAAGCAGCACAAACATTCCCTAATGGAATACCCAAGAAACGACATGGTTCTACATGTATAGTAGAGTGAAATCTTAATTTCTAAAGCCTCTCGGTTTGGTCTGAGTCAGGCTTTTAGTCAGATCAGTGTCCAGGCAGAACACCCACTTTTTAAAGAAAAATTGTTTTATTTCATATGTTTCCTTGTAAATTGTTCATTGGAGCAGACCCTATAGCACATTTTGGACATCCACTTTTCAAATCCTGTCCAAAAGCCTTGTTTGAGCTATTGCTAGTTGGAGAAATTGGGGACAAAATCACAGTGCTCAAACAGAGTAAATATTGAAGGGAATAACTTTTGATTGCGTTATCAGGAGGTTCAAGAAATCATTTCTTCCTTTCATATTCTGCTCATACGCTTATTATCAGATAACTTAGAGCTCTAAATATCTCTGACTATCACTCCTTACAATCAAACAAACTAAAATCATCCTTACATTGTACTGATTGCAACACATTTGGCTTACCGTTCAGTTACAAGAATTTGGTGGTAAATAACATAAATATTTCCAAGAAAATAACTTATCTGCTTCATGATGTATGGGAAATTTTAGTAAGCTATTAATTTCTTATAACATGGAAACAGATAGATCTACAGTGTGTATTTTCCTCACAAAGCAGATCGAGTAACAATACAGTTGTACTAAAAAATATAATTCAAGTGGACTTCTGATAAAGGATGCTCTTGAAGTGTTTTATAAAAAAATGTTAATTTTAAACAGAAGGAAACGGTTAGTAATTATAACTAATATCACTGGATGAACTTTAATATTAGACATTTGGTAATTTCTTCAGTCTACTGCATTTGTATAAAACACCTCTTAAATTAATTTCTTTTAACATACAAATAAATAAATCTGTGTCTATTTTCCTCACACAGCAGATCGAGTAACAATACAGTTTTATAAAATGATATAATCCATGTTGGCAACTGCTAAAGGATGCTTAGTGTTTTGTAAAAAAATGCCTGTCAAACAGCAGGAAACGGTTAGTAATTATTAGGAATATCCCTGGATGAACTCAGATATTTGGTAATTTCTTCAGTCTAGAGCTTTTGTATAAAATGGGTCATTAACTGTTCTTTCATGCAGTGAAACAACTCGAGCTGTATCCTTACAACATATATTACTTAGAATTTCTGCTCGCTGTCACACATTACAATACAAAGATAGAAGCATACTTCAAGAGTTGAAAGAGGCCAATAATTATTATTTTGGTTTTCCTGTTGAATACAGTGACTATGCAGAAACAGTTCAACAATGTCATGCATACAGATGTTTACATATAAAAATGTCAAAATATTCTTTTAAACAAGACATCAGTGAGGTTCTTGAGTAGGGGAGGCAATTTGCACTGCATACAATGCTTACCCAAACCATACATATTTCACACACTGTAAACTAACAATCAAAATTCTTGAAAGGCTGTTTTGAAGATGTACTTCACAAGCTAACCAGTGCTTATTTGAAATATAGTACTTTTGGTTTCCAGTTGGAACTTTGGTACTACAAATTGCAATATGGTAAAGTTTTCTGTGGCCAGAAAACTGGCCACAGAGAGTGTCTGGTGATCAAGACAAAGGAAACAAATTCTGTTTATTCCCGTTCATGTAAATATCTGTCGATTGTGAACGTTATGCAACGGCCGAAGCCAGTGAACTGCAGACATTAAGAGAAAGCAAAATATATTTCCTTGTAACGAAAAGACCTCTGTGAATACCACTCAAATACCAGATCATTGTAAAGAGATATTTAAGAATAAGTTACCTTGAGTTAAGAGAACACACCCTAAATAGGAAACCAAGTGACTTGAACATGGTCTCACAAGGTTCATTCTTTCGAAAGAAAACAAAGAAATGTTGCCATGGGCTAATTTTTGTCTCGGCAAGTTTAGCAAAAGAAGTCTTTACCCAACACTACGAATTCTTCCTTCGATTATTTTTTTTCCTGGCAGCGATGGGTAAAAACTTCCTGGAAAGAGCCAATAGGTGCGCTAGTGGTCTAAATTAGCGATCGGAGATTCAAGAAGTCCACGTTGCTTTATACAGCAACTGTTATGGCTATGTCTACATGACGAAATATCTTCCTAGTTCTTACCTTGTAGAGACGAAAAAGATCCAAAGTTTTCCTCTCAACTGTTGGTATCTTGAACGTTGTGCCCTACAAAACGAACCATTCCAACGACAGAGCCAGTTAGAGGGGTGAGAATTTTTTAGAATTAAAAATGAGTAGTAAACATGGCTGCCATCGAGTTAAGGTTTCAACAAAGTGTTTATTTCCCGAACGAGAAAGACGCGTTGTTCGAAAAATATTTACCTGAAGCTCCCAGAATTTTGCAATGCTGTCTAAAAAGTTGAGTTTCACCCTTGTTCTTGCCTGTATAAACAAAGGAACAGCTATTAACGATAAGCAGTTTGAGCAAAAAGAGAATTTTAATGGGAGGACACATGGTTAGCTACAACCTATGTAGATGAGTTTACCAGTCAAACTCGGATCTTTATCACAATATAGAACGGCTACTAACTTTTTTAGATGGGGCAGCATAAATCGAAGAAACATACAGGCTGTTTATTGTGATCTTCTGGGCAAATTATAGTCTCTTGTTACGTTTTATACGCAGCGGATTTCTTGAAAAAAGACGAACAACTTGTAAATTACCTCAAGTTCATTCAGACGCTGTACCCTCGGTGTAAATCTAAAACTTTCCACATCTACTGAAAACGGAGGCTGCCAGTCCTAGAATTAAACACCAGTTTATGTTAACAATCCTCTCATGGCCAGGATGAATGCCATCACATTAGAGAAATAAAACTTTTGTACGCGAAAAAAGTGATTTCTAACCGGGGGAGGCCGGATTTTGCAAATGCCTGTTCTCTCCGCATAAGGCCTTATCTTTGCAATGTACGCCAAAGGGTCCTGGAATTCCTCTTCGGTAGGTTCGAAGACCGGGGCTTCTGGAGGTGGATTGAAAACGAACTCTTCCCCTTCGTCCTCCATGTCTGTTGTTGAGTCAGGACAAGACCAGCCATTTCAAAACAAAGGACTCACATTTCTCACAAACCAACGCCATTTTTAAAATCGACAAATCATCTCATATGACTGACGGCCCAACTGGCCTTTATTCCTTATATCAGGTGACTAGCTTTCTGAGCCGTGATTGGCTTAGCGGTTTTTATCATGACGTAAAGTTCCGTTGAAATGAAGCGAGTCGGAAAGCCATTCAAATTTGCCAAACTAAACATACCAGACCATAACAAGGAAATTTGGGTAATAATTGTTAGGGTTTAAAGGCTCTAGTAACAAGTTAGGACGCACAAAAACTTTCATTATCAACTGTTAATCGGGACTTTTTTTCCAACAGTTCAACAACTTACTTCCGTGACCGCCACCAGCACAAGGAGGTACATTTCCTGTCATTAATCGCGTGCGCTAGTGAATGATTGTAAAACAGTTTACACGCTTGACGCTACAAATTCAAGTTTATTTTGATTACAGGGATCGCTTTCAACACGTGACCAGTTTCTTTTCAACGATGTTGAACATAAACACAATAAAATAAAATCCCTGAAAATTATGCAAGCTCACTGATAAATAATTCATTTTGACTCGCTAGCGATGTCTGCGTTTTTGTAGCTCTGGCAAAAAAAAAAAAAGAACTTCCAAAGCTACTTCTAGTCCCGGGTTTTCACTACACATACCAAAGGCCTATTTCACAAACACGATCGAGGAGGACGAACGCATGCCGACCCCTCACCCCACCCACCAACCTCATTGCTATAGACCTGCCGAGTCTGCCCACACCCTTTTAAAACTCTAACTAAGGCCTAAGGGTGCGTTCCTCTGGGATGATCTGGTTCAGGATCAATGATCTAAGATCACTCGGATCATGCTGCATCAATGGAACCGATGTAGCCTTGACCAGAGTGGATTCATTGGTTCCTTTGCTTTCCCAAAGGCACGTACCCTAATTGAGTTGCATACAGTAGTGCTTTTTCATCCCTCGCTTGGCAGAAGTGCCATTAATTAAAATCACTAAGTAACAGAATAAAAGTCCACAGTTCAAAATCATTACTTTTTCAAGCGTGAAGAGCGGTATCAAATCGATGTACATTTGCTGTGATCAGTGGTAGTTTTCACTGCACAGAAATTACCATTCGTCAATCCCAATTATCCTGATTAAAGCAGTCTTTTATTTATTTTTAAAATATCTAATTTCTTTTAAGCAATGGTTTACTCGGTTTTTCGAAACCTTTGCCGGGCCTGTGAGCGAAAACTGTTTGGAACACATTTTCAACTGATCCTTTAATTAAACTAAACATCAGATTTTCTACATATACGTAATACATCAGTCCTAGAGCTGATCGATCTTATTACACAGTACTGTATGTACCTGGTCTATCAGTCAGATCTGAGGCCGTTTCAGTCTGCGTCTTATCATCNCTTTGCTTTCCCAAAGGCACGTACCCTAATGGAGGTACATACAGTAGTGCTTTTCATCCCTCGCTTGGCAGAAGTGCCATTAATTAAAATCACTAAGTAACAGAATAAAAGTCCACGCTTGAAAATCATTACTTTTTCAAGCGTGAAGAGCGGTATCAAATCGATATACATTTGCTGTGATCAGTGGTAGTTTTCACTGCACAGAAATTATCCTGATTAAAGCAGTCTTTTATTTATTTTTAAAATATCTAATTTTTTTTAAGCAATGGTTTACTCGGTTTTTCGAAACCTTTGCCGGGCCTGTGAGCGAAAACTGTTTGGAACACATTTTCAACTGATCCTTTAATTAAACTAAACATCAGATTTTCTACATATACGTAATACATCAGTCCTAGAGCTGATCGATCTTATTACACAGTACTGTATGTACCTGGTCTATCAGTCAGATCTGAGGCCGTTTCAGTCTGCGTCTTATCATCCTAATTACTTTCAGTTTCCTATCACTCTTTCAGTTTTGTTTTAATTAAGATTAATAATAAAAGAGTATTAAAGAAGACGGTTCCCAGCATGTAATGATTCGCGTTTATGGGAAACAGCCCCCCGGGTGGCACTCTCAAAAAATTGGGTGGGGGTGTGCAGCCCGCTGCCCAGAATCCTTACCCCTAGACCAAAATTTACGATTTTCCCTACCCTATTTATGACCTGATCAAAAATTCGATGCTCTATTTAAGACCCGACTCTTAAATCAATACCGTGTTTCAGACCTGCCTTATAATTAGTTCTCTAGTTCAGACCGATGTTAAAGGCATTGTGAAGGAGTTTTGTGGATGATCTCATCGACAATGATGAAAAAGTAGCTTTAGATACCCTATTCAAGACTGAAGACTAAGAAACCATATCCTATTTGAGACCAAAATGGCCAAAATCGATACCCCATTTCTGGCCAAAACGGCTAAAAAAAACATACCCTTTGGGGCCGCATACTTATATAGCCCCCAGTATATAAGGGAGCACCCCTCCGGGGAAACAGCATTCTTGAATTGAAGACAAAAAAGAAGTGTTTATTTACATATTGACACCTGGGCAGTTGAGTGCCCTGGGGGCGGATCCACGGAGTCTGAGTTCTAATTAGTTGTCCCAGGTGGCGGAAAACCAACTCCCACGTGGCTTCTATCTCTTATCACGTTCGCTTTTAGCTCCAAGATCAATTCGTGAATTCTCGATACTATCCTTCAGACATTTTATGTCAATGTCCTTTGGAGAATGTAGACAGTCAACGGGCAGTCTATTTTCTACTTCCAGCGCCCTTTCCAAAACAGAGGATAAAAGTTGAGCAAACTGCACGAATATTTACAGTGATAAAAATCTTTACTTGAGAGCTTTCATTTGATTGCATTTCTATCGAGTGCAAACACGAATCTTTATCTGAAAAATGTCAAGATTTATATTATCAGTGCCAGCCTTATATTTGTTAACGAAATACGTTTTAATTTCCAGACAATGGGTCCGTGTACAAGTTGATATTTCGAAAATGAAACAAGAAGGTTCGAAGATAAAAATATTCGTATTAAAAGACCACATACATGGCTATTTTGTAGTGAGTGATAATTTCATCATCCTCAAATTTATCGAATTGATTTTTTGTTGATACGTTTTTCTCTACCTGACATGAAGCGTAACGCGCTATTTAGATGACTTTGTCTCTGAAGAAAACAAACCTAATTCTGGACTTGTTACCGGAAGTTAAAACCTTCAGCCTTAGTCGAACATGGAAAGGAGTTATAGAAAATCTGAATATAGGTAGTAGTTCGGAAATTGTTAGACTACTGACATGGTTTGATAGTTACTTCTAAGATTATCTGCTTATCTCATCAGTAACGAAAATAGAACAGGAGGTATTTCATTTCGGGCTTTTAGATGCATTTTATAATTTCGCATAAAAACTCAAAACTAAGTAAATCGGCCGCAAATGAATATCAAAAGTCTTTTTTTCCGTTGTTGAGGACTTATAATTTTTCCCTTACATTCATCTTTGGTTGATTTTTTATTACCCGGATAGTTTGCCCGCCACAACAAATACTCTCCTCAATTTTGAGAAAGCAGAACAGCGAAAGGTGCAAAAGCTTGCTGTCATAAAATTTTCTTTATAAAAAAATGATATTACTACAACTCATTTTATTTCCCGTTTTGTTTCTTTCTTGTATTTCTTTAATTTTTTGTGCTCTGTGCTGCCCACTGTAACAATTGTACAGCGGTTTTCCAATCGAAAGTTCGTTTCATTTCACCGCCAGATTCAAAATGGCGGCCTCCTCACCGGATCCAAACCTGCGAAGGGAATCTCCTTTACCAACGGTAAATGAACGGCTGGGGCATCTAAAACCCTCGAGAGAACTATTAGAATACTACCGAAGAAAAATCGCCGAATATGATGGCGAATACGAGGAAATGGTGAGGAAACTAGAGCTGTACAAATGCACCTACGAAGAACAGGTAGACTTCGTCGCTTGTTGAGGTAAATTTTGTTTTGTTATTGAAAGAAGAAAGATCAGTTCTCTTATGTTTTTGTCGCTTATCGTAGCACAAAACGCAGTGGGAATTGCGGCAACGAGAGGAAGAAATCGCCGAACTACAAAAAGCTCTGAGCGACATGCAAGTTTACCTCTTTCAAGAAAGAGAACACGTTTTGAGGTTGTACGCAGAAAATGACAGATTAAAAATACGCGAACTTGAAGATCGCAAAAAGATACAGCATCTGTTGGGCCTTACCAAGACAACAGAACCTGAAATTACTTACTTCCATCATCAGCCACCAGCTAAGGCTATTGTCACTCAACACAGACCCAGGGACAAAGATAGTGGGAGCCGAGCGGTGTCAGCAGGAAAGAGGACCCTTACTGGACGTGGTCCTGGAGGTCACAAGCGAGGTAATCTAAAAGTGGCTTTACTAGCTAGTGAACAATATGATATCAGTTTTTAATGCGACTGTCCTGTTATTGACTATGAATTCCTTCACAACATTGTCAAAGTAGTCTGCAGATCCACTCGGCCATTGCCTCGTGAATCCACAGCTACTTTGACAATGTGATGACAAAATTCATGATCAATAACAGGACACAGGCATGAAAAACTGACGTCAACTTGTTAAATAGCTTCAATAAAGAAAGGTCTCTGTTTCTGCAGTAAATCCCCCACCCCAATCCTGCCCAAGAAATGTACATATATGAAAAAAAATAAATAAATAAGTAAATAAATAAATAAATAAATTTTCTTCCAAGTCGCAAGGGGTCAGAAACCCCCCCCCCCTCTAGCCCAATCCCAGGCTGAGCACTAATCCCCCTCACCCCCTCCTGCACATGATGACCATGTGATTGATATCAAAATTGATTATATTCTGCCTTTTATTATTTTGAAGACTCCACTGGAAATGTTCGCCCAGTTAGAAATACTGCCAATACTGAAGACAATCAGACCCTTCTGCTTCAAATAGAATCATTACAAGCTCAGCTTGAGGAACAGACAAAGCTCGCAAAGGAGCAGGTTGCCGCCTTGTTGGAAGATCGGAGGGTACACATGGAGGAGCAACAAGCACAGAGGGAGAGGGACACAGACAAGATCAAGATGATGCAGGAAAAGTTGCGGAAAACTCACGATCTTTTATATGACAGTACTAAAGATTTCCTGGAGCTGAAATATGAGTTAAGAGCTAATGAAAGGCTCTGGATGGCTGAAAGAGACAGATTAGTCCAGGAAATTGATCAGTTACGGGAAGAGCTTGACGTAACTGGTGCCAGTGTGCTAGAAGTGTCAGGCGAGGTCATGGAGCCACGTCAAGCACAGCTTGTCGCTGTGCAGTCGTTAAGACATCAACTCGAGCAGTCACAGAAACTGGCGGAAATGTACCGAGAGCAATGTATTGGTTTAGAGGATGAGCTCGCAAGAATAAGGGAGCGGACTGATGTTAGTGAGGACATTTTCAAGGAGAGAACAGAGAAGATGAGTAAAAGATTGGCCTTGATGAATACCAGATATGAAAACTTGGAGAAAAGGAGAGCATTGGAAGTTGAGGGGTTTAAAACTGATATTAAGATGCTCAGGGACAAGCTGAAGAATGTTGAGAAACAGTTATTCAAAGTAAGTTATTTTTCTTTTTCTTTTTGTGTTCAAGTCTCAACCAGGGCTGTCACTTCAAGGGTCATAAGTTAAACCTATAATGCCTGTCATAGTGAAGACTGCTTGATGGGCCCTTGATGTCAGGGCTGTCAATAAGGGCCATAAAACATAACACCTGTTATGGCTGAGTATGGTTGATGACCCTTGACGTTATGGGTGAACTGGACTATGGTTGATATAATCCACTCAAACAGTAACTAGTTTGCTACGGGTGAAAAGATCATGGCTGCAGTTGATACAAAACTTATTGACAGCCCTGGATGTTACCGGTGAACTTGCCTGTTGTCAATAGCATTCACACACAACATAACAAGTTTGTTACAGGTGTGAAGACTGACGCAAGGGGTGACTTAAAACTAAATGACAGTGCTACTCTCCATTATCTCACCCTAAGTATCGGAACTCTCTCAAGATCCTTCTTGGAAAACAACTTGGACCCCAAGATGAATAACCCGAGTGGAGGCAATGGCATTTGCAGCACCTCTACCATTCACTGTAAAACAATATCTGAGTATGAAGCATAAAAATTCATGATCAAGTAACAATAAATAAGAAATATTAATAGGCTCTGTAGCTTTGAAAAAGAATTAAAACCAAGCACTTGGTTGTAAGAAGCCTTTAGCCTGTACTATTGGTAGTTATTTTTCTCACACTGGCAAAAAAAAAAAATTAATATTTTCTCCTTTCTCCCACTGGCTCCCACTAAGATACCCTTATCACAGGTTAGGGCTGACTATGTAGACTACAAAACTAGTTTTTCCAGTTTTGCCAGGTTCATCTGACTTTCAATCTTTTCATTTATAGGTGACGGTTAACATGGGAGATGATTACGATGAACAAGTGCTTAGAAATGTTCGACACACTGCAGGAAGGTCAAAGAAACTTGTCGGTGAACTTCACAATCTTAAGGCCAAGATTTATTCTTTAGAGAATGATGTTAGACATATGGGATAATGTGATTGGAGCATTTTGTGGCAATTCTAAATACTGTTAATACGTTAACCAACATTAGTCTTCATATAATGACATGGTCTTATTCAACCTCATTTTTGAAATGTTTACTAATAAATTGTACTGTCTACCCTTTTAAATGGTGAGAATATTTTATTTTTTTTGGTGTAAAATCACCCTTAATTAATGTATCTACATGTATGTACTAATTTCTATTGCTTCTTATTTTTGCTTCCAACATGATTTTACTTGTTGGTTGATATGAAAATTTTCTCTTAACATTTATAAGGAAACTTCGTTTTTTTTTTAAGGATCCTTGTTGTTAGATGCAGTGGGTCAGGCATGACTGTTTTCTGTTATCGTGATATTCTCATTTTATTGAATGAATAGGGAAATAGGCTGTGCAGCTTGCCTACATTTCACTTTCTGTAAATAGTATTTAGTTGGGACAGTATCATTTGTGTATTATGTAATTTTATACAAAAGGCAGCTTAATGTGTTGTAAGTTTTCAGGATGGCAAATTAAAACACATTTTGAAAGGATCTGAGAGGTTACAAGTCATTCATTCAATTGGCACCATCACTTAAAAAAGTGTAACATGTATCCTTTGAACTTCATGTTGCATCGCAAGTTCAAAACATTGTTGCCCATTTCTCTAAAGCCCTGGAAACCTTTTGGGCCTGCAAAGCCATTTTTAGTTAATCTGTATTCATCTAAAAACAGAGGTGTATACACCTGAAATTTATTGTATGGTAAACCTTTGTTCATATTAAGTGTATGTGAATAAAACAGCTCCATAATCATAAGGTTTGATATTTTGCTATGGCTTTTGGGATGAGAAAACTTTTTGGGACCTTCAAGAAACGGGCCCCAGGTTGGAGGTCACATATTGAACAAGCCCTACTTAACTTTGTGCAACATGTTGCACTAAGTTGCAACACACAAAGTAATCTGTGCCCCCACACTTGATTTAGTTTTTGAGAAGTCCCACATTTTTCTCAAGGTGACTGTTGATCACAGACCTCTGTTGAAATGGCTTTTTCTCAGGCCGTTGCACACACTATTGGTTTCACTCACAGATTCAAAAGTGATCCC